CCGCTGCAATGTCAACAAACAGAGATGCCATCCAAAATGCCAGAACTGTCACTAAAGGGAAGAGCAGAGAGAAAGGAGGAGGTACGATTAAGAGAGGGAGAGAGAGTAGTGTCATCTCATGGCAGTTTATGACATTATAAAAGCTTTTGACAGACATCAGGGTTGCCAGGTCTGCATAACAAAACTAGCCCAGTCACAGCCAAAACTAACTTAGTTGCGTTTTAGGTGGTCAAAACCCTGCTTCCAGGGAGTCCCACCTTGGTCGAAATCACGTTCCGGGGGGTGGGGGATTTCACGGACTAAAATAAAAACAGTCCACGGCAGCAGTATGAAAGTAGATCAATTCATGGCAACACTGACAGACATACACTTTGAGTGTGAGCTGACATACAGTGGGTACGGAAAGTATTCAGACCCCCTTAAATTTTTTATATCGTCCACCTGTTTTTAGCTTTCAGTTCAGTTTTCTGATGCTTTTAACTGAAATATGTAATGTCTGTTGTGCAGCAAATGTTTCAATGGTGCATTTTACATGAGTAAATCATAAAGCAAATGAAGGCACCGAATGGAATCCACTTGAAAGCGAACTCCTTCTAATGGATGGCTACTGTATCAGTCCAGTCAGCATCCGAATATTGTGTAATTATTTCACAGAAAAGCTTTAAATTCTCTCAACTGTATTTTAGTAAAACTGTGATGTTGGTGGCATATCAGAACCTTAAGCAACAGAACATTGAAAATTCTATATAATCTTAATCATAAAACATTGTGATAAAAATAGATTTTTAATACAAAAAATACAAACAATGCCACATGGGAACGTTTTTACACATTTTTTAATCTGTTCATTAAAAAATGTATTTTACCCATCTGATCAAATGATCCCAGGAGGACAAAAGTAAAGCCAAAGCTGATCTGAAGCTGCCAATGAAAATTAACATAAGGGATGATTACAATGCACTTACACAAATACTTGTGTATTTGTCTTGTCTTACTCTTAAAGCTATACTACACTGTTAAGACCTGTTACTGAAAGTGCCTTTTCTTGCCTGTTTTCGTCTACGTCATGTAACCACTTACATGAGCAGTCGTTTTGCGGTGTTACATTATTACTGTTATTATTTTAAATACTGAACGTTGCAGTTGTTGTAGATTTGTGATCCAGGATAATTTATGTGTGCAGCAGTGTTTTCCCTTCACCTTTCCTACCAACCAAGAGACATTGTGTTTTGTGCGTATGTTGCACATTTGTTCTGTAAGCTTAACACAATTCAGTATACTGCTTTAAGATTTGATTTTTTTTGTTTGTAAGTTGGATGTGATTAATACGTAGCCTAGTTAGTTAGTATTGTTTTAATGTTACATTGCTATGCTAATTTAAATAGAAGTAATGGTCAAGAGCAGGGACCTGAGGCTAGAGTGGAAAGTCTTCAAGACTGTTATAAGCCAAAGGACTGATGTAGCTTTAAATCTATGCACTAAAAGAAATGTCAGCATCCAACACATCTACTTATGCATCAAAACGAACATTTCAAGAATGTTTCCACGAGTCTCATTATTCAATCAAAGAATTTTCTTTACCTAAAAGGGTAGTTTTTTTTTGTTTTTTTCCCCAAGCATTTATATTGTTGTGACTGAGAATCCAGTGGAATTATGCAGTAAGCTTGTACAATTGTCTTGAGAGAGGGGACATTCATCCTTTCTCATGATGTCATGAACCTCACTAATGTTCAAATATGTGCACTATGAAGTTTTAGTGTATTTGCATGTACCACAGAAGAAAATGAATGACTAAAAATGGAAAGGTCCCTGCACCTGCAGAAAACGTACACTTTAATTCAGTCGAATAATCTGACCTCAGGATTGCAAGTCTTAAAAAGTGCCTTACATATTACAGCACTGAGCACCTGTATTGACAATATTTAAAGCTGTTAAGATACTCTCATTATTACATGTTTGGATGAATTTAACATGCTTCACATTTCGTTCTTAAAAATAAAAATAACCAACCCGTATTTTATTGAACTGTTTTGTACTTTGTTCTTCACTGTGGGAATTGAAATGCAAACACTTGCTAAATGTCATCAAATCAAATTTCGGTTCAGTCACCAGACATATAAATTAGTTTTATTGAGATTACGGTCGTGAAGAGGAAGCATCAGCCATCAAAGGTTTTATGTACGTTTTGTTTTATAGACTAAAAAGAAAACAGGTATCAGCGTCATGAATAATGTTAAAACTTTATTGAACAGCTCAAACTAACAAAACAAACCTTTACGGTTAGTGTATTTGAATTCAGACGCGCTGATTAAGTGCTTTTCACTTGTTGCAGTGGAGTCAAAAACATTTACATTATAAAGAAACAAAAAAAAAAATAATAATAATAATATAGAATCAGTTCAACTGTGTCTCTCCACCACATCTGAGTCTGAATTTCAAAAAGGATCCAGGTGTGTATATAAGTGTCCTTGTTGCAGGGGTGTGCCGTCACAAAAGTAAACTTGCGCAGAAACGTCTCTTAGTGGGAGATGTCTCATCAATAACACTCATGTGTTTCTGCATTATCACTTCATGGATGGAAATACAAATACAAATGACACACTACTATATAACTGTGCATATACAGGTTTAAAAAACCAGTTCAGCTTCTGGTGCAATAAGTCCATACTGTTAGAAATGAACAGGTTTGTGTTATTGATATACATAAGCATAAACTGAAAAATGTAAATCTTTTTGGTTTATGCTAAGATAATCTATTGACTCAAGACGGTCATAAAACAGAGTGAATGTTTGAATCAAACTTGGAAAGACACAGTCTGCTCCACAACAGAATGTGTTAAAGAGACAGTGAACCTGCAAACTATCAGTTTGGTCAAGACTTTCCTCCCATAGGGTGACGGTACATCCTATTTTTTTTTTCTTTTGGGCATTTTCTGGTTGGGATTTCTAAACTTGTCTAAAATTTCTGGGTTTTGGCTTTATTTTCCATTTGACACGCTCTCTACAGGCCTCATGCATCATATGTATGCATATTTGCATTGCTTTGACTTCTCTGTAGATCCCATTTCTTGCACGCCACAACTGGTCGATTACGTCCAATGCCTGGACCACTACTTTTCAGTCATTACCTTCAGCAAGTATGACAACAATAGGAAAACAAAGAACCAGGCATTTTAATTGAGAAATCCCAGGCCAGGACATGTCTGGGAAAAAGAGCACATATGGTTGCCCACCTTCCTGAACTGATTCTCTCTCATGTAGTATGACGTAACATACAGTGTCTTTCTCAGTTGAAAATGAAGTGTTCCCTGAACCCACCTGAACAACACTGTACAAGCCATGAACTGTGATTAGTGCAAGTGAGAGAGCCTCATCCATAAATCACTAGTAATTCCTACAGCGAGACTACAGCCTCGATTCAAACAGCTGAACCCTTAAAATGTCAAAAAAAAAAAAAATTCAGAATGCACACAAAGACACAGCGCACCACTTCTCACACAGGTCTTTAGTCGTACGCGTGTGAATGTTATACATAGTGTGAAATATTACGAATATCCTTCAGTAAATAATGCTGGATGAAGACAAAGATGCAGAAGTGATCAAATCATGTCCGTGTAGAACTCCTGAATTCAAGAAAACCCAGTGCGAGGCATTTGGGAGAAAACAGTGCACATTTTGGTCTATTGAAAGTGTCATATTTAGGAGGGTCTATATACAGAAGGTTCTATGTACACATTGTTATATATACAATACAAGCCAAACGAAAGGGAATGCAACTGTGTCCTTCTACGCCTAATATAGGCTTATACACACACTACACCTGACAGGTAGCACTTGCTATGCTGGGGATCATCCTGTGTCGACTCCCTATCAAGATCTAATGGCTGATGCTTGTGAGGAAATCTAAAGTAAAATAAATAAACGAGCATATGAATTTAGCTAGCTTTCACAAAGGATTTCGACATGATGAATGATGGGTTTTGATTCGCTAGGGGATATCGTTTCATTATGCAGTGAAGATACTTTAGAAGATGGACTATAATCTGAAAGATGAGAATTTGGCAATGTAGTTCTTGAAGAAAACAGACAGGAATAAGGCTCAAGGAGCAAAGAGTCAATTTCCCAGGCCTTATCGTGAGGACACCCACAAAACGACGTCCCGGGCCTTGTAAATTTAAGCGACGATCCTGATAATTGGTGCAGGTTTTCCAGGAACACCAAGAAGGTTCCAGCTGTGCTGATTTGGCAGTAGCAAGAAAGGTATATCATATTTTGCTCCTGCCTTTTCGACATTATTTGCTTGCTATAAACACGCTTGTTTGCATTTCTTGGGTCAGTGTGATCAATGTTAATACACTTTACATCATCACCACCATTATTAATTGCACCATAGATATTGATGTGGAATGGGAAAAGAAAAACATCACTGAGATATTGCAGCATCAGACGTAGACAAAAATTACTTGACTTTACTGCATAGCATAATCATGAAACAGGGCAAAAGAATAGATTTAGTTACTGATTGAAGCAAGAGATGTCATGCGTTATTGCATATGAAAATTGATGGGTTCAACTAAAATTTCTTTTAAAGACATTTACAATACAAAACAAAAAGAGGGTGACAGGATATCTTAAATGTTTTCCCTTTGGCTACATCTAACAAACGTTGCTTCCCCTGAATGAAATGTGTATTGCATCCTGCACTGCACCACATCTGCACAGCTTTCACTCACCTATCCGTCTAGTCTGAGTTTTACAGTGACCACAACGCCTGCATGGCCTAATGCCGAGTTCACACTGCACGATTTTCAAACTCGTCGAATCGCCGTTGTTTTCACACTGCGTGACTATCTGGGGTAGCATTCAGTTGCTGCTGTGTTCACACTGCACGATGGATCGGCGACAGGGGGTTTCACATTGCATGACTTCACAATAGGAAGAATCGCCGGCAGCTCTGTCTGGTGCAGGGTTGCCAGGTTTTCGCTACAAAACCCGTCAAAACACTATTCAGACTGAAAGACAAAACACAGGAGAGGCACAAAACAAACACAAGATGGAAAATAAAGCATTTGTCAATGAGTTTCTCCCTGGGAATTAGTAAGTGGGGCTGATTTGATGCTCCTGTGATAAGAGCAATAATGAGAAGAAATGAGAGAGAAGGTGGACAGGGATGAGACAGACTGCAGGGTGCAAAGATCAACAGACAAGAACATGTACGTGAGAGTATGTGATCATCAGTGAAGCCAGGGTGCAGCAGATGGGTACAAAATCCACCTCCTGGATTGGGGGAACAGAAGACAGAGAGAGGAGGAGAAGGTTTGGTGCAGGTGTGTCTCTGATCTCTCTCCTGTAAGGGTGTCTGAAGGGTCAGATCTGGAGAGAGGAGGAAGGCATAGTCTATTGTGCTCATCTCTGGCACCTTCACATTGGTCATCAGCTGGTCAGGTAACTGTGCAGCTCCCTTGAATTTATGCTCAACACCACCCCTGAGTGGTTGCCTGGCAACAAGAAAAGCAGAAGGAGGTTTTGTAAAGGCAGCAAGTGAAAAAATGCTCTTAATCACTCAAGGTTGTTGTACAATGTAACATTGAAGAAAATGTAGACACTTAATAATAATACCTATAAATTGCTCTAAACGCATTTTTATAATTTTGTCTTTTTGGATTGTAGACATTTTAACCAACTCATGAGGTAAATAGTAATGATGACATTTAAGTCATTTAAAAGCCATGTTTAAATTTAAAAAATAGTAAGTGGAAAAAATAAAACAATGTTAATAATATTAAAAGCTTAGTAGTTGTATGTGCCCTTTGACCCAATTAAATAAATGATAAGACTTTAAAATAAGGTTAAATTTCAATTAAATAAACAATAGTTAATGCATTAAGAATTGTCAACTAAACAACAACAATTTTACAGCATTATTAATCTTGGGTAATGTTAATTTCGATGTAAATATAAAAAAAATACTTCTACATAGTAAGTACAATATTTTACGCTTTAAGTTTAACATTAAAATATTATGAGAGAACATGAATTAACCATGAACAATATATATATATACATACAGTGTTGGGGGTAACGCATTACAAGTAACGCGAGTTACGTAATCAGATTACTTTTTTCAAGTAACTAGTAAAGTAACGCATTACTTTGTAATTTACAAGAGAATATCTGAGTTACTTTTTCAAATAAGTAACGAACGCA